GTCACTTCCGTTAAGTGTTGGTCGAAATCATGTACATTTGTGACTCGTTAATCGACATAATATGGTAAAACATATTGCATGTACACGAACAATTTTATTTCATGTCCTGAGTAGACACTTTGTCGTACGTAATATGTCACTTAACGCTGGGTAATAAGCCCCTTGCATCAGCCTTGTACGAAATGGCCACGTTACCTGAACCCTATAAACTTTAGTCACATTGGTGTTTCCCATTTTAATTAATGTTTACTATACTCCTTGTATTTGCTACTATTTCACACGGTAAATCATGGCTCGATCTCCTTATTACACGACAGTCCTTTTAATTGCATTTTCGATTTACTTGTATGCAATAATGGTTTGTAAAATATCTAAACGTCCTCTAAAATTCTCCACAAACCCAACCATAGTTTTCGTATATACTTTTCTCCAAACGTCCGACTGTTACGCTAATAATACCCAAACGAACATTAAGCTCAACTATCAGTATACGTAAGAACGGTGTTATTTAAATTTGACTTTATAATACATCTGAACTATTGTAGTTATTCTACTTCGATATCGTACATTATATTATGAAGTATTTCCTCGTGTCTGTTATCTAAAAGATGATTTCGGTACATCAATCGGCTGCTCCACTATTCGACGATATAAAACCTGTCCAGTTCAATTGGTGATCTGACGACATTATCATCCGCGCGAATCATCAGTTTGTGCAGTCGAGAGAATCTCCTGAACACTGAAAACGACATTGTAGCCTCTATCCCAACACTGACAGCGTTTTTCACTGGTATCATTGACATGAGTCCAGAGTAACACTCTTGGTTTCTTATGGTCTTTTCGACATTTTTCTATTCGCTAATCGAACAAACAATCAGCAAGCATTGTTTATCATCTTTTGGAAACTTCACAGTGCCGTCTTCGCTCTGGATTTGTAGCCTTCGACCCTTACTGACTGTAACAGCAGTCACCGACTTTCAAAACTGACTACAAGTGGATTAATAGCCTCGCATGACGATATCACGATTACTCTTCACGACTATACTTCTGTACTTACAGTTAGTCTGTTAAATATAGATATAGCTAGAAGTTGTCAACGACACTGTCTGACAATCATCTTTAAATCAATGGCAGTATAAACATGCGTATCGATTGATAATACACTTATCCTACTATCGCTATAGCATCATTGCTCTTGTGGCAAAGTTAACGTTTCTCATCTGAGAAACTCAATTACTTGTCAAAGCTATATACTTCAGCGCGACGTTAAGTTCTTTTTATTATTTCTATGGTTAATGGCTTTAAGTTCAACCAACGTTCTACTAATATATTATTACTTGCTGTTTCTCGATCAGTTTCTGCCGCCTCGTTTTCATTTGTTTTGCAGCTCGGCAATACCCAGAGGATTCATATTAATCGTTTGGCAATCTCCGGCGCGCGACTACCGACATGTTTGGTACCGATTCAAACGGCCGTTGAATCTGGTGGGGGAGTATTGTAGGGCCAGTGAAATTCCACTGAGCCCTAGCCAAATCATCCGGCAGTTTGGTCATTGAATATCGAACAATCAGAACCTCTACATGTGACGTTTCACATTCTTGATGTTTTCTGGCTAAACTTCAAGTGAACGCTGATTGGATGAAATGCTTCTTACTGTTTCTTGATCCTTATGTGTCTTTTGCGAGAATTTTTTCGGATCATGCATACACAATCCCTGAAAGCAAATAATATGGAGCCTTTATATAATACACTGTCGGACAGACACAGGATGAACTTAAGAAGAAGACGTACAATCAATTATAGACACTTGAACTTTAATTTAAGCTGTGGCGGATGTGGTGTTTGAATGAGCTAATGAGTCCTTTGTACTTGTTGAATGCTTGATTTCGAATTTCAAATACAGTACATTCGTTAGTGCTTGTGTAGTACTTCTTATTCAATTGCGTTATTTCTGAGATTCTTAGTTAGTACTATAATTCAAATACTCCTAATCATCACATCGGTTTAATTAGAACTCATTGACATGACACTAGCCGTAAACTGCGAATAACTGTCTAGCCAAACTTTGTGGAACTGGAAAACAATATAAAAAATATCTAGACAAGCTTATCAGTTGTGTCTAAAGTTCGAAAACTACTTGACAATTTTCAGTACCATCCAACTTAGTTCATGTAAATATTGAGGCGGTTGAAACTTATTAGAATACGCAAAATAACCACACTTTTTATAAACTGTAAGTATTATTTTGAAGTGGATTAGATCCATCGAACTTTTTCTTTGTCTAGACGCAGTGACAGTGCGTTTTCGATTCAAAAAATTAATCTTGAACCTAAATTTCGATAAATTATTTTTCTTTTTGGGTTTCATTTGGAGTAATAGATGTACGAGGTTTTACACCATCTTACTTTTCCATGTTCGGGGTTTTTATTGAATCATCACTTCTTAGGCTTATAAAGCTTTATCCCAGTTTGTTTGATAACTTATACTTCACCTTAGTCACTAATATAGCTAAAGAGGATTAACTGATATGCCAGTCGAACAATCTACTACTGAAGCTATCCAAAAAGTAAACAAAAGTGCAGAAGTCTGATCTACAGCCCTACGGACGGATTCAAAGTATCCAAACCTCAAAGCACTCAGAAATCTGTAAAATCGATCAAGGGGCATGACTATTTCTTGGTATTCACAAACTTTGAAGACTTCTCTAACCTTCTGATGTGTGGGCGAGAATGATAATGATTGGTTGTCTGGTTAGTCAGACATGTAGATAATCTGAAAAGTGTCAGATGAGTTATATATTCCCCTATCCTTATAGTTATCATTATTGATTGTCCATTGTTGTTGGATTGTATCGGGTTTTTGGTGTGGAAATATATTTACGTTGTGGTCAGGCCAATCACATGTTCTTGATCTGAGTTGTGTTGAAGTCATGTAGTATAGACACTCGGGGGGAATCTAGTGTAGATATTTATCTAGGGTAAATTAACGTCCCATACATGTAAACGTGGAAAACCAACCGTTATAGAACCTTTCACTAGGTTTAAGAGAAAATTTAATTATGATGTTCAAATTCAAAACACTGGCTGCCAACGACATTTTCAGTATTAGAACACCGAACACCCATATCACCCCAGACTATATGTAGCGTTCAATAATGCCACTGTTGAGAAGGATCATATATTGGCCTGTCACTTGCTAACATATGAGAGGGTATGTAAAAATACATCTGGATATACTAATGCGATTTCATCAATAGCACCATAATAGAATCCCGAGAGAAGTTTTTTTCTGAAAAAGAACATAACTGTGCAAAGTATTCTGGAGTAAAAATTCATAAAGCAGTCATCAAAGTTGAAGAATATCTTTACCCAATAAGTGGTACGATTAGCCAAGAAGTACGGGGATCCCATACATCGACTAATAATGGTGAAATTCTCATCCTCCTAAATCGCGGTCGCCACTACCTAACCACTTGCTGGCAACAGACGCCAGTTAACATTTTGAATCTATGCGGATTCAGGCAGGCCACGTGATGCACATATTAGACATTAAACAAATTGTAACTGATTATTCTACTCGAGGACTGTCAAGAATAGGAAAAATCGGTACATGGGGAAGGGACCACATATTTGGAAATACCTAAGTGGATAGCTTTCCTATCAATTCACATAAATCTCATTCAAACAAACAGGATGAAGACACACAAGCGTTTCAACTTGAAATCATTAACTGTATGTATATTAATACTGAAAGTTTAACGAACAAAGTAGATGAGTCGCATGAACTGAATAATGCCAATAATAATTGTCTGATAGGAATATCTGAAACATAGGCATCTCAAATCATGGACCAGGAACTGACAATATTTGGCATGTGTGCCTCGTAACGATAGAAAAACTGGAATGGGAGTTTAGCAATTTCAATAAATCTGTACGATACTCATTAAGATTATCTAAGTCTTAAGGTTCCTAGATGGAGTTATCTGCTGCTGACAATGAGCACGATGGTCGTGTTGTTAGGCGATTATTCTTATGTGTTCGTCTCGGATACACTTGTATAATAATATTGGGAGCTTTCCATCTCCAAATAGTCTACTTTGTTGGGCACACGTCATTCCCATGGAATTCATCTTGAAATTTTTGATATTGCATTAAAAGTTGTAGGAATTGTTATGTACGAAAGCGTTTCTTCATGGGGTAACGAATCTAGCGATTCCATAATGATTTTCCAAGTTATAACGTGCTGTCACTTTAATGATCCCTCTCGCATTCTTAAGTGGAACGAGAGGAAACGTTTGCCCAAGAGAACGTTGAAAACATACGGTCGGTGAATACTAACAATATTTGCAGGCTAGTAAGCAAAATACTGTCTGAATTAAATAAATCATACATTATTGAGTTGTTGGCGAACCACCTAAGAGTCATGACTGTCAACGGAATAGAATGAAGATGAAACTCGTAGAAGCAACTGTCAATATCATTATGTTTAATGATACCGACCGAGGGTGGGGATTGATTAACCGGTTCCCAAGTTATAACTTCACTCGACTTGACATGACAATTTGATCTTTTCCCGTCGAAAAATAAATTCTCTCCGATTATAAATAGTATGCCTAATAAATCTATTTATTAGCTTATAAATTGTGCACGCAAAGTGTAATGTTTACAAATTAATTCATTGTAACGGTATATTACCCCAGACTTAGGCGTTAACATTTCAGCACACACAAAATGCGCTCATCAACCATGTTATGTGCAGATATTTATGCTTGTACATACTGCAAAAATCAATTTCATTTTGAGGTTTATAAATAGGGATAATAAGAGGTAAATTTTGCGTATTACAGTAGTTTTAGTAAAAGCCTTATTAATAATGTCTTTTATGAAGTAGAACTCGTCGAAGAAAATCAAACATTTTATACAGTTCGTTTTGGCTGATTTTGTAACTAATATTATCTTTAAGTTTTTGTGTTTTAATTCGTTTTCTCATTTTTTCTTGATCGGTACATCTACGCGCTTTCCTTGAAAACCACGATAATGGACATACTATCAAGGTTACTGGCTAGTTGTGATGATCCCTGCATTGTCTGAAAATATGTTAGACCCGAACATTTGCATCAAAAAGCCTTTTGATTTCGGATATCCCGTTTTGTGTGGATCTTTAGGATGGAAACAAGGAGACGAAGAAGGAAAATGGGCTCAAAAAGCTATCGAAACCTTAATAAAAAAGTTGAAGAAGCGAAAAGGTGTTTTAGAAAGGCTTCAGTACGCCCTGCTTCACCCAAACGAGCCCAGTGAATGTGTCACTATCCCACGATCTCTAGATGGTCGAATTCAGGTTTCGTCGCAATTTTCTTCTTTTCACTTTTATAGGTCTCTCATCGAAAAGGATTTCCACATGTTATATATTGCAGGGTCTGGCGTTGGCCAGACCTCCAGAGTCACCATGAGTTAAGGCCTGTAGAAAATTGTAAATTACCATTCAGTTCTAAGGAAACGGAGGTGTGCATTAACCCATATCATTATACTCGGGTTGATTATCCTGGTAAGATTTAGTTATTTTTTTCTATTCAAATTAGTTTTGCCCCCTGTATTAGTGCCTAGACATAACGAATACCCAACAATGGATTCTACCAAAAAGGAGTCTCTAAGTGACGAAACATGTGACTCACGCTGTTATTCAGGTTAGTATATTTCCTTAGTCTTTTCACGTTCAGATTCACATAATCTCATTTTTCCTAATCTATCTAGACCGTAAAGAGTACTCAAAAAATATTGTTTGTCACGTTCTATGGGTTTTTGATACATTCCGCATCCATGTAAAGGATACTGATGATCTCCCGCAAAACAGTAACTACACGTTAATTTAAAAAAACTGGATTCATTATAAATAGACAGTATCCACGCTACCTTCAAGGAGTTTACGCAAGCACTTCATTTTACTCTTAATTTCATCAACGTCAAAATATTCGGTCCTATGTTTTATTTTGCACTACTTTTTCATCAGGATTTGGATTACACGTTTCTGTATGACCTTATCCTTGTTATTCCTAACTAATGACTTTCCATGGCAAGTTTGGGATCGGAATTAGTTTATATGCATGACGGACCACGTATTTTCGGAATAATGGCCAACGCTGTTCAAATTTTCATTAAACAACCTATGTAGAAATAAGGACTCAAAAATTTTTGAGTTAAATTCAAAACCTCATCATTTATAAAGTCGGTGAAGTATACTGACAATAATACTGGCACAGTCTCATAGGATTTTTCGGTGTTTCTATCAAATGTATTTTTTGCTAGTGCGTTTCGGTTGATAATTAAAAAGGCGATCTCTGCACATTTAGTAGCTTTATTCGGCTGTACAGGAATTTCTTTTTCTTAAAATTACAGTCATTTCTGGGTTTGAGAGCAAGACAACCTCCACATGTGTTAACTTGTCAACCATCCATTTCCGGATCTTTCTGTTAAGTTGATATCCTGGGGATTTAATATGTTTATATTCAGCTAGAAAAAACCCAAAAGAAGTTGCATATGAATAGTGCATACGTATGAAATCATTTGCTTGACTTTATCTGTCGGTGGTCACCGTGTTAAAGCGACACATTCAAACCTGATCATATAAAGCGGCATACTAACTTTCATATTTATACATTAAGTTAATCCATGATTATTTTGCCTGCTTGTCGTAATTTAGTTGGTTTTAAAGTTGACTAAGTATATAATAAGTATTTTAGATGGAGTTTTAACCGAGAAGTTTCCTTTATCCCGTCAAATTGTTTTATAGTGTAACCTCAACTGTATATCAATGTGTACTACACTGTAGGCTTAACTAAGGAGTTACCGTTGTTTTATACACAAATTATTTATTGGCTCATGTTCTTAGTGTGATAAACCTGGTTTGTGAATATTCACCATGTTTTGACACTACAATAATATGTTTATTTGTCCGAGGCTAAGCTACAGAGATAATTTAATTAGTAAATTATCTAACTTCAGAAACTGATCATCCTGGAAACAAATTGACATGGAGCACTCAAATGACGTAGTCCTATGTAATCAAGATATTTATACAATGCAGCCTCCTAAACGTCTTCAGTCGAAATCCGCATTTTGGATGCATTTTCCTTCCAAATGCAAAATCGTGTTTTAGGACTGATTTAAGACATTTTCAAGACTGATCATAGGAAGTGAAATAGTTGAATGTCGACCAATTCACTTGGAAGTATCTTCAGCTGTAGTGGGTTGGTGTTTAATAGAATAGAACAGATACGCAAGGATCAACTTATTTGCTATTCGTTCTGTTGATTTCATCTTGTTGCACTGTTTCTGGCGTGACAACCGGGTAATATGTATATTCTTTTCAGCGTCTACGTTGATCATGACTAACTCATGTGAAGTCAATTAGGGTTTTGGATATTGGTTTTTAATTTACACCTCCATGTTTTAAATTATGCAAGTGTTTACGGCTTCCAGTAGTTCATAATAAATTTGTATGACAAATTCGTTAGAAAAGATTTCTCGTAGTCGAGTTCTTTTAGCTTTCGGTATTCACTTGGTCGTGTTATAATATGCTTTGCAGGGATTAACTCACATTTACCAAACACAACTCGGTACACTGCTGTTAGCCCACTATATGAAGGCCGGTGGTACTAATCAACTTCTGAGACCTAAGTAGATTTAAAGTAACTTGTATGAAAACCGAGTGCTCTAACATATAAGCTACTGCTACTGTTCAAGGGTTGATTTTAGTATTTTGCTAGGTGTCCCTATGTTGTTTATTAAAAGAAAAATCTGTCTGTTTACTTAAATTTGATTTTCTAGAATATATTTTTGTAGAGTTTTTAAGCTATTTTCAACAGTTTGGTGTTCCTTGAAGTAAAGGCTACAATGCGAGAAACAAATAAAACCTTATATGAGTTTAAAAAGTTCAGATAAATGTTTTTACCTTTAAGACAAGTAGCTACTAAACCCACGTATTAAAAGTTTAACGGCTAATTAATGCGTGATCAAATGTGGGAAAGATAGGATAGAAGTGGTTTACATCGTACAGTTCTGCCTCAGAAATAAGACTCAGTTCCGTAACAACCAAGTGACAGATGTCAATGAACGGCTTTCTATAAGCAGACGATCGATTCGGAGTGAATTTTACCTAAATACACGCAGCGCTTTTCTTAAAGAGGTTTACATTTTAGGTTTCACAGTTCTGTCTCTCAACTAGTTTTGCGCTTGAAGATTCTGAAGCTGCTTATGTATAAATAGAAGAACAGTCTTAATCTCCAAACTGTTATTGTTTTTCGGCGTGGGGCAATGAATCTTAAATATTTGCTCAATTATAACTGAATTTGGTGTAAACTTTTGTGTGTTACGTCTTATAAACCAAGGTTTGGTTTGTAACATATTTATTTTTGTCTTCCACCTGATGTATTTATTTCAATGTCGGTCATAGATAGATTGGATGAACAGGACTTTTTTAAATCTTAGTAGTTATGAGTGACTGAACGATTTTGTTCATGCTTATTCGTAAAATGTTGTAATTCATTTTTCTATAATTTGCCACAGGATTCCATGCCGTAAATTATCAGGAACCAAAATATTGGTGCAGTATTGTGTATTATGAATTAAATTCACGTATTGGTGAAGCATACTTTGCCAGTATACCCAGTATTATTGTCGATGGCTTCACCAATCCAGGTCGGGATAGTGGTCGGTTTTCCGTAGGATTTCTATCAAATATCAATAGGAGCCTGGCTGTTGAAAATGCCCGCAAACAAATTGGAAAGGGTGAGTTTATTTCTGTTTATTGGTACTTGGTTTATTATTTACGTTTATAAGTGTAATTAAAAGTTTGAGCTGCATTTGAATAGTGGTTTCTCACTAAAATTGTTCGTTTACGAAAACGAGTATCTTTCATTTTAGCAAACTAATAGTAGTTGTTTTTAAAATTGTTTCGCGTCTTAAGTGAAAAGGCCACTTTATTCCTACATTTATGTAAAACTCAGGATATCATGTAGGGTCTCTAATGGTCATTAAATAGTCTACTTTTTGGTAACACTAAACACATCACAACCTCGATAAACCTTGCCATTGAAGTCCTCACGTCAATGTAACTAAAAATATGCTGCCCCTCTCTAGATAATTCTAGATAGTTCTGAAACGCTTATTCTCAGCATAATAAGAGAGAGCAAGATAAAAATCAGAGGAGTCAAAACAGTAGCACCAATAACACTAATGACAAGAAATATACCTCAAAAAATAGGTACAAGCGAGGTAACAGGTAGTACTGAAACTCATTATTTAGAAGACATTAGTGTATACATCTACAACAGCACGATTCATTTTAAAACCATATCGTCTAAAGTTGCTATAACCTGCTCTTACTGCACAATTTGAAAGTATCCATGTAATAGTACTCCAGGGTTACTGAATACAAATGTGACTGCCCCAAGTAAACGCAATGCAACTACTCTTTCCCTAAAACTCTTGACGCAGTTCTCAATGATTAAAAGGCGTAACCTTCATTTGCAAGGAATATACACACAGAAAAATGCCACTTTATATACAAGTTTTGTTTTCAGTGATTATTAGTTGCATTTAAATAATCACGACTTTAAACGAATTTTATCTTGAATCAATGTCGAAACTAGGTAATTACACAAAAATTATGAACATACAATAAAGTATAAAGCTAAAATAAGAAGTTAACTTGTAAGAATTCAATGGAATGTCGAAGCGGATAATTATCATGTCAAAATATTCAATAATCTTAATTTTGGTTGCATTTTACCAAAGATTAACCAATAATTACGCAATTCCCAAGAGGAAGTGTGAAACCCCTAATGACAAGCCGTAAACGCTCAAACACTGACTTCATAAATTGATGCCATATATGGGTTTGACCTCCCATTTTTACAGGCTTGTGCTAGCATACAAAGTTTCAATGTTTCTCTTCATTTAGCTCATCATTTTATGCTTCAAGTCATACTTCTGTCACATCAGTATGATAAATAAACAAATGGAGGGAAGTTTGTTAAAAATCGGGCGCCAAGTATATAAAAGTAATTCCATGTAAAAATGTTTGAAATAATATCAGTGATTAGAATTTCCGTTAAACAAAATCAGATTTCGATTATTCTCTTGATCAGTTTGCCGGGCGAAACATTTGAACTACGTAAATTTTAATCTCTGAGATCATTCCAAACATATTTCTTCTACATAAAATAATTGGGAGCTTAACGAAATAGCTGAATTTCCCATTTATCACAGAAGCAGTTGTAATTCGACCGCAGTTATCACTTCTCCAGTAATCAAATCAAGTCAAATCGGTTGAGATACTCCTTTGGCAATATAGTACTCTCAGTTTCGAAAATTCTATTCCTTTTTCTCATGTTTCCATATGAAGAGCTTTCAACATCAATTTAGACACTATTTCCGGTGTAGTTTCGCAATGAAATTAACTATCTGTTCTTTATTATTATATATTCATATTTTTGAAAAAATCTAATACCAGGTTGACTAAAATTAGTTTTTAAAAGTTATGTTTTAACTAGTGCGTTCTTTTAATTTCATCGCGAGTTTGGCTCATCTTTTGTCTTACTGAAGCTGATCAGTAAAATAACGTTTTTTTTTGTTTAGCCTTGACGATTAACATAATAACTAGTTGTCATTACGGTTGTTTCTTAAAAATTAAGATGAAATTTCTCAAAAACTTCACATTTATCATTTTATTAGTGTGAGCGGTTTGTAGAGATTACTGAATTTGATGGGACGCCTAAGCAGTGTGATACAACTACGCAGAAGTAACATTTTAGGATGAATGCCAAATATGTCAAGTGTTTCCTGGTTTTCAGTGGTTGTCTAATTGAAGTCAGTTTGCCATGAAACCAATAAAACTCAACAGTCTCTACAAACTTAAATACGCCTGGCACACCTCGTCAAAGAGCATAAACCGCCCACCAGCACTCTCCATCCAACCCCGTCCTGGGCAATCCTTTCCAGTTCTTTCCAGTTGCTATTCATCCTATTCATGTATGCTTCCAATTCTTGACGTAGTGTGTTCTTCGGCCTTCCCCTTTCCCGTTTACCTTCAAGATCCCAAGTTAGCGATTGCGTCGTAATGAAGTTTGATGATATCCTCAATGTGTGTCCTATCCACTTCCAGTGTCTTTTCCTAATTTCCTCTTCAGCTAGAAGCTGGTTTGTTCTCTTACATAGTAGGCTGTTGCTGATGGTATCCGGCCAACAGAAATCAGTATCTTACGTAGACAATTGTTTACAAATACTTTACCTTTTTGATGATAGTTGTAGTAGTTCTCCAAGTTTTAGCTCCGTACCGTACGACTTTCTTGATGTTCGTATTGAAGATTCTGAATTTGATGTTGGTTGATAGACAGTTGTTTTGAGTTTCATATGTTCTTCAATTGTAGGAATGCGGCCCTTGCTTTGTCAATCCTCGCCTTTACGTCTGCATCAGATCCTCCTTACTCATCAATGATGCTTCCCGTGTACATGAAAGATTCCACATCTTCCAGAGCTTCTCTCCTTATATATATAGACATTTAAACGAGTGCACAAAGCGAATACAAACTATATTCGTTTTATATCCTTTAGTTTTAAGAAAACAAAGAACTTGGAAACATATTGGTCATAGCAATTAATGCAGTAAAACAGAACGTAATTAACCTTAGCAAAACAGACTTCAGAAAAGTTTTGTTTCTTGTGGAGAAAGATTAACAGCCAAAGCCATGTTTCATACCACTAAAGTTGAACAAAGCGAGTTGCTGCCTAGTAAACTCAACCTTTGGTTGACAGACGAACATATGAAACTCAAAACAACTGTCTATCAACCAACATCAAATTCAGAATCTTCAATACGAACATCAAGAAAGTCGTACGGTACGGAGCTAAAACTTGGAGAACTACTACAACTATCATCAAAAAGGTAAAGTATTTGTAAACAATTGTCTACGTAAGATACTGATTTCTGTTGGCCGGATACCATCAGCAACAGCCTACTATGTAAGAGAACAAACCAGCTTCTAGCTGAAGAGGAAATTAGGAAAAGACACTGGAAGTGGATAGGACACACATTGAGGATATCATCAAACTTCATTACGACGCAATCGCTAACTTGGGATCTTGAAGGTAAACGGGAAAGGGGAAGGCCGAAGAACACACTACGTCAAGAATTGGAAGCATACATGAATAGGATGAATAGCAACTGGAAAGAACTGGAAAGGATTGCCCAGGACGGGGTTGGATGGAGAGTGCTGGTGGGTGGTTTATGCTCCTTGATGAGCGGTAACGCGCGTTAGTTTTTGCTTTATCGGAACACCTTAAATTTCGAAGGTAGAACTTCGGAGTCCTTAATGTGATATCGATTACTTTTATGCTGTCATTCCTAAATCTAAGTAACTAGAATTTTAAGTACTAACTGCCTTATTATGTAAGAAGGCTTATCGTTTTTGTTTTATATCTGTATTTCCTTTGGAGTGTACTCTTTTAGAATTTTTGAAATTCGGAAATTCGTTTGAGCTATCTACATTCACTTTATCATATCCTAACTTTTCAAGTTAAGGTGAAACTTTTTAACAAACTGCTGGGATTAGTTTTGGCGAAGTCCCCTAGATGAAATGTAGCGGTCGTTAAAACTTTAATTTTATTTGGTTGTTCGAGAGACTTTCTATGAAGATCGCATTAATTAAGTTACTTTCCTCGCGAAGAATATTAATCAAAATTTAAGCATCATTCATAATTCAATCTTTATTTATCATTAATCATTGCCTATGTGTGTGCCTGTGTGAATTTAGAAAATAACAGTCTGTCATCTCATGTGTATGTATATTTCTCAAACTCTCTTACTTATATAAGTCAACTGGACTACAGTTAAGTAAAGTTGATAATCGCTATCATGTATACTACTGTCCTCATACATACATGAACAAAATTTATGCTTGTATTTTCAATATTCTGTTTTGTCCATTAATAAGCGTAAACATAATTTTAAAAGGATAAATGAATGGACAATAAATTACGTATGATGTATACGTAGTGACTATAACTTCGTTTCTAGCAAAATCCTCCTATCTTTCTACCATGTTCTCGGAAAATGTATTTAACTATGTATCCTTCTACATCGTACCATATCATTACACTTTAATACCCCTGCACAACTGATCTCCCCATCCACTAAGTATTTTACTATGCATTTTAAAAATCCAAAAACTTGCTTCCTTTAAAATCATGTACACAGAAATCCCTTAAATTCATGCATAAAATTATTATTGCATATTCTATGATGGCGCCATATTGAATGCCACTTGACTATGGGCGCCTATAAATGGTTGTTAGATTTTCTGTTGGGTTTTTCCTCTTTTCCTTTCTATATGCAATAATTTATAACCTTTCCTCTCTTTTCTTATCTCTTCCCATGCCCCTCATCATCACTTTCACATTAGGAGCCGTCTACATTCACTTAAAATTTGATTGGGTTACCTATAAATTTTCGACTTAAATCTTATTATTTTCATAATTATTGTTATCGTACTTATTGTTATGAATATTATTCTAATTAAGTATGAATTTTTGTTTGTTTTCTCATGTTTTTAATCGCAAAAAAGTAGCCTTGCCATTTACCATTACTAGCCAATAATAATAATAATAGCATTAGTATTAGAGCGCCATTCATATTTATAACATTTTTTTCGTTTACTTCGTTATATAATCACATTTGATGGTGAGTTTTCCATTCTCAAATGCAATTAACCCTCACTATACTAGTATATATATATATATATATATATATATATATATATATATATATATATATATATATATATATATATATATATATATACCTTCAGTTATTGTTTACCTGATAGAGTTAGTGGCTCAGACTATTTTCATCATTTACTATTTCTTTTGCACAGTAAATTGTAAGGGACATTTTAAACCATCTGTGCTATTAACGTATGACAGCGTTTATTATTTAAATAGATATCTACTGGTTTTCAGCTTTAGTTTTATTTATTGCTTCACCTTCTTCACTTTGAACGGCCGGGTAACACCAGTAATCCTCTCACAATTTGAAGAATTTACATAAACTTGCACTTATATATTGAATTGGATCGAATCGTTCAAGTTTTAGGTTCCTATTTGCAATGGTAACTGGGAAAGCTAACTTGACTGCAAAACTGAACAGCATCGTGGGCCTTATTTTTGCTATGTCAGTGATTAAATATGGACTTTTTTCTGCATGTTAATTAGTTCTGTTTTGGATAGCTTTTTCACCAGTGCCATAGTAAATATATATCATCAATTGTTTTGAAAATTGAATTTGCCTTCACTTTCCATTGTGATGTCCATACTATCGTGTAGATTTAAAGAAAATAACAATTTTGTTAACGGTTGTCTAACTCATTAATGCCACCTGCTTACTTGTATGGTAATCTCTGAGCACCTCCCAAAATGTTACGTTGTTAGGACAAAAAGGAATTACCCAAACTTTTATATATTCACTTAAGTTTCGACGCTTAAAGAAATATTTTTTTTGTTTGTTCCACATATTTTTATTTTCGTTCATCGAATTATATCTTCTATGTTTAATCTTTTCTACTACCACTAATGCCGTCACTACATCTACTACTTTGGGATTTACCGTGACGATTTCATTTCGCTGTGCTAATGTAGTGCAGCAAATTGAATCGATGGACATGTGTACCAGGTTCTACGTTACGTTTGACTAACTGATCGCAATAACTTACATATATAGTTAGCATTCATAATTACTTATTCAAAACAAATCTAAAATGGGTTAGACCATTGTCTAGATCTATGCATGCTATGATATAGTCATGTATATAATTTCCCATGTTACAACGACTTCGTTGATTTGATAAGTTTTTCAGATTACTGATATAACGAAACTGACAATCCGTTTACTAAACTTATCCCCAAAAGACAATTGAACAATTTTTCTAAAAATGTAACCATTTTGTTGAAGATGTAAATCCCCAAATGAAATTTATTATAAAAAATCAAGCGAAATATTATTTATTGATTTTAAATGTGATTTTCATTTGTGTAAGTTTTCGTATTGACTCACTGTGAACTTCGTTCTTTTGATTTCCAATTCATTTTTTGTTCAAGTCTCAATTGTTCAATTTGATCATTTCTGTTAGTAATTATCACCCAATTTTATCAGTATTTAATTGAATTAACTCATGTATATATCGAAATCTTTTGGGGTTTATACCAGTTGAAACTTCCTTGTAAGATTTATGGCTTCAAGTTATCAGGGCTAAGAAAGAAGAAAGCTGTCATATTCTGGTTCTAAGTGTCGTCAGTTATCGCCGTTCCAAAAATCACGTTACGATTTTTAACTGATTAAATACGTGGCTATATTGTGAGACGTCTAACCTGTTATTTGTACATTAAGTATCCAAGTGAAAGTATGACTATGGATTACTTGTAGGATATAAATAAAGATTACGAAGTAACCAATGCTATTTTGGTTCTGCTTGTCATAACACTGGTTGACTATTTTCATTTCATTGACATCATGAATCAATCTAAGTTACACCACGGCTTCTTACTAAAACTCCGGAAATTACATTTCAAAGCTGGTCACTGGTTGATACATAATTATTGTCAGTTCTATTGAAAAGCGGTGACCAGTAGAGCTAATCGGTATCGGGTGTGAGGCAGTCACCCAACGAAGATAATGAATGATGGCCGCGAAATATTGTGGATTGATCGAGGTTAAACAATTACACCGTTGGATTCTAGCTCAGTCGTCTATAGGTTAAGAGTTTGTGTGTAAGACGGATGTGCCCCCAAATGCCTTGGTACGTCCGAGAGTGGGGAGAGTCCGCTCTCCCTCTCGAAATGCTCTCACATGGCCGCGCGTATACAGCCTCTGGCAGGGAAGTCCTACTCACTGCCTTCTCGTGGCGGGGGTGTTGTTTACGAAAATGAGAAGACGAAAAGCGAATATCCGGCGCTTTAACCGGATCCTGAGGGAATAAATGGCGTATGAACCAATCGTTGATCACCAGCTACCATGGGACTGCATCTCCTCACGATGCTCCACTGCCTTGTGGATCAAACCTTTAAGTCGAAGGCTCAGGTTGTGGCCCCCTAAGGAAACCACCTGCTTCGGTTTGGGCACCTGTGCAGTATCACAGCCCTCACACATACCAAATGAGATCTGTGTGGCGCATATGTATTTGGTGCCTCCCTGGACCAATATCTATGTGTTAAAATAAATAAATAGTAAGACATGTTGGTTTCGAGTCTCGTAAGGAATCTTGGATGCACACTGTCGAGGAGTTCCATAATAGTACGAAACGGTCGTTCAGTTTCTCCATGTCTAACATTGATCAGTTCATGATTTCAATAGAATTCAGAAATCTCCGCCATCCCTTACCGACAACTATTTTCATTCCTTTTTCTTTTATCTGTGTTAAATAGTTTTGTACTTAAGTTAGTCTTAATGTTATGATTAAAATCTTTAGAATCAATTGGGAATTAAATTATACACCTACAAAGATTACCAAAACCAACCAAAAATAGGTTTTCTAGTCTTCAATTTAAAACTTCAAAATTAGTGACTGAACGCCTCGAAGTTTTATGATAAATTCCCTCGGATTTGTCATTGCATCGTCAATCGAAGCTGCAATAAATCTCTTGTTTCCTACTTGTCTTCTCAATTGTTTAGGCTAAGGTATAAGATTATTAGGGTAATTGGTGCGTACTAATGTTTGGGCGTTTTCTGTTAAAGCTGAATCATCATTAAATTTAGCTTTGAGATTCTAAAATTTAAAAAATATTCATTCTACCGTTTAGGGATTGTGATTACCGAGCTAAGATATGAGAGTTGTGTTGAAGGCTTATAAAATGTGTTTTCTATGGCTTATCATAGAACATTATTAATAAATTCTTAGTGGTTGACTGTTTATGAAATGTGTTTTGTCTATATTAATGCCTAGTTTATTTCTTTTAACGTCTCATTTAGGTGTTCACTTGTTTACCTTTGGTGGTGATGTTTACGCAGAATGCTTATCGGATTGCAGTATTTTCATTCAGTCTCGCGAATGTAATGAACGTCATCATTTTCATCCAACAACTGTGATTAAAATACCTCCAGGTGGATGCTTACGCATATTTTCCAATCGTCAATTTGCTCATATTCTTAGTTATACTATATCACGAGGTGTTGAAGCTACTTATGATCTTGTACGTATGTGTACCATACGATTAAGTTTTGTTAAAGGTTGGGGTGCTGAATACCATCGACAGGACATTACTTCTACACCATGTTGGATAGAAATCCACTTGCGTGGTCCTTTTTTATGGCTTGATCGTGTTCTTCGTCAAATGGGTCCAAGTAGAAGTCCAATATCTTCAGTTTCCTAACTCACAAAAGCTTACTATATCAACAACTGTCAGTCATTTCTTGTTTTATTTTACTCTATCATACATAAACATACCCTCATCACCGTCCCGCTATACCCATATTGTGATCATTTATTTGAGTGGCAAAACTTAATATTTTATTCACTCTGTGATTGTGTGGTTATTCGGTTCTAATATACCACTTACTCATTGCCAAATAAGTTTACCAATTTTATTGTTTTTGTATACGCTTCCTCACCCATCTTTTCTAATTTCTAAACAGAAAACTATCGTATTGCGTTTTATGCACTCACTTGCTACCTTAAACACCTATGTATTCACATATTGTGTTGTTTTTATCCACCTAATTTTTAAATCACATTGAAGAATCACTAATTCCCTCCCTGTTATTTTTACTATTTCGATTATTTATTGTATGTAATATCTACCTTTATTTTGCCGTGATTACATATACTACACACTCTATTTAGATCACATGTATTCGCTTTTTTGCCTATTATCATGGTATTGACATTATTATTATTATTATTATTATTATTATTATTATTATTATTATTATTATTATTATTATTATTATTATTATTACCTGTCTGTGACTCGGATCCAACAATCAAGCGCCTATTGACTTTATATTTTCAACCATTTAACCGAATAGAATTTTCACCTTTTTTTACGTACATGTTTGCTCACAAAACAACTGTGTACATGTGTGCTCTAAGTCTTGATGATAATAATGTTGTGTTTTCAAAGTATGTACCAATAATAAGTAAAGTTTAATATTTGTTTGTTTTATTATTCTGTAATAAGCTTTTTTCATGTTGAGTTTTAAGTTCGTAAGTAATTTTTGTTATCACATGTAATAACAGTCTCGAAACCAGAGAGCACAATCATTTCGATATAGCTCCTGAAATTCCTCAAGAGTACATGCCGTCGATCCTGTTGTAGTACTTGAGATTTTGAGGGTATCTTATACCTTAATTGCTTTGCGAATTTTACGATACTCACTGGGAAAGTAGATTGAGCAATGCAAAACATTACGATATAATGCCATAGTTATGGCTATTACATTACCCATGATTTTTTCAAAATGGAAAATGCTAAGTAAATGCATCCAAATCATTGCGGTTGTTTATAAAACATGTTTAGCGCTTGTAGTCAACTTTTTTTATTCAAAGTACCGGATATCCTCTCCAAGAAGTCTACTTTGATCTCCTAACTGGTTTAGATCATCAGTCAGACAGTTTTCTAGATTTTATTCTTAGTTTACTCCAACTCGGATTTAAAAAGTTTGTCGATTAGTAATGAATTCAATAGAAATTTGTAATTTATAGTTATTGAGATTATAGGATGAAATTACATTTAATACTTTAATTGTGTCAGGAACTGTTGGAATTAAAAAAATGTCAGTTTCATATTTTAGATTACTCAAAAAGCAATTCGTTATTCATTTGAAATGTAAATGAATTTATAGTTCATGTACATTAACGATATGAAATTAAGAACATAAATCCAGCTTTACAACGGACTCTGAATGGAAGATCACGAACAGTCTTACACTGATGCTGTTACCTCAGTTGGAAATGTAAATATCTCTCACAGGTACAAGTATATATACCTAACATTTATGACCGTCAGTTCTTTTAATTTATGTTGTATATCTTTGTGATTTTCCTATATGTGTTCACAAACGTTTCTTTTAATAAGAACACTGACAAATCAAATCGTTTGTCGACTTTCTGTAGCTCAATCTCAGTTGACTAGATAACTTTTAAACTTTTTTACTGATTTAGCAAGGAAAATGCATACATTAGTAAAAGACTGATTCAAAAAGAAATTATTTTCCATGAACAACATTGAAAGACAGATGCTCATATTGAATGCTGATACCGCACACTGATCACAAAGTAAACGGTATTCAAATGTTGACAGATGATCTACTATTTTGACTGACATCATAGAGTAATGTAGACGTTTTAAAGTGCGATTTTCACTGGTTAATTCAACTTGTGAGAAGTCATGACCAATGGAGCTAATCCGTATCGGGTGTGAGGCAGTCACCCAACGAAGATAATGAATGATGGCCGCGAAATATTGTGGATTGATCGAGGTTAAACAATAACACCGTTGGATTCTAGCTCAGTCGTCTATAGGTTAAGAGTTCGTGTGTAAGACAGATGTTGGTTTCGAGTCTCGTGAGGAATCTTGGATGCACACTGTCGAGGAGTTCCATAATAGTACGAAACGGTCGTTCAGTTTCTCCATGTCTAACATTGATCAGTTCATGATTTCAATAGAATTCAGCATTTTCTATACTTCACAAATGAACTAGAAAATGTATGCCTTTGGGTCTCGTCTCGATTAACTACGTTTTACACGGTTTTTTGAAAGATTTGATGGTTCTGAGTTCGGTTACAACTTGTTGTTGGTGTACAATGTCAAGGAATCATAAAGTTGTAATGAAACAAATGTTATAATGAGATCAGTGAAGCAGAGTACAATTATTACGTAAATTTATATTCTGTTTTTCAATTATTTATTTATTTCAAATGATGGAATGCTAAATTTTTTAAATTTAATCTTAGAGATTATAAATTCTTTATTAATCATTAGTTTGTTCACCATTATTTCTTTATGCAATTTATTGGACTAGAGTGATATCACTGAATCGTTTCTTATTTTCCCCCAACATATTTCTGGGTAACATAGATGTTATCAAAAACTATTGTGTCTTTCAACTAACAACTGATGAATGATATATATTTCCAATATTCCAGGGAGTAATAAACTTGAAATTCTAATGTTTGTGGATTTACTTTAAGTTGATTTCTCAAAAATAAGTAAAGTTAAAATGAAGAAATTATTACGTTAAATCAAATCTTGATAGTGATATTTATAGGCATCTATCTAGTATTAGTTTAGGGGAATTTGTGGCGATTGTAGAAGTTTAATAGTTTAAATCGCTAACTGATCTTAGCTAGACCATCATTTAAAACCTGAAAGTACTAGATGACCGTTTCTTCCTAGTATGGGACTTCGCAGCAATAAGCATTCACGATACCGGAAATCGAAAGCATAACCTTCAATCTTGCGCACGAACACGATGTCTAGACCACTGCTGAAGAATCTTATGTTAAGATAGAACGGCCACACAGTGCTTCCAGGTTTTCGTGTTGTTCTAGCTAAGATCGACTCCCGATTTAGTGTATTTGTTAATTCCTTTAGTGTTTCGTCCCTCAGCGTATTTATTTCATTCATCAGACGATCACATTTATTCTGCTGAATATTAGTTGTATGTTATAATTTTTTGACTAATTATGTATATATTTAAGTCTGTTATAACTGAATTCATCTGATTTTTTCGCAGCATTTTTCACATATGACAAAGCTATTGAATGATTAGTGCTAAGGTTATACTCAAGGTCGTAGGCAGAAGGCCATGTTCATTGATAAGGTTCGAAATATCCATCGTCTTCTGCATGTTTTGATGCCAAACAACCATATATCCTGACGTATAGTGCTGGCTGACGTAAACCGAGGCTGGAAAAAGACTATGAACAAACAGATCAGAAACAACAACTGCTTGTTCAATTCATGTTGGTAGGTTTAGACTTTTTGACTAGTGCCTTCACGACACTCAGAATGAATGATCGTAGATGTTGGGTTACTATGCAGAATGGAACACCGAAGCACAATCAAATACGTTCTCCAGTTTTATCAACCTTTCCACCCTTAACTTTCATTTGCTTCCTTTTCGATTGTATTTATTATGTTTAGAACTTCACCTTGTTTAATCTTATTTCTCCTCTTTGATTATCTTTTTACGTATTTTTTTTTATTACTCATAACTCTGATGTTAAATTTATCAGCTATGGCCAATACACATATTCAGTATTTGTGGTAACTTACTTGTAATGTTGGTTATTACGTAACCGAGACTGTGTTGTAATTGAATTATAGATTTCTTTTTTGATAGAAATGACATGCTGTAAGGTGCAAAGCTGAAAAATTAAGTTAACTCTAATGAATATTCCGCATTGTGAATTTATATCTATTCTATGTTTAAATTTGTTAAAAGTTAAATAATATATTTCATTGGTAAAAGTTATATTCTATTCATGTTTATATCTCATTGAATCAAAGTTTATATATATATATATATATATATATATATATATATATATATATATATAGCTTCATAATTTTATTTCGTCACGAATATGCTACTTAAATTTATTATAATTTTGTTTCAATGAACTGTTCTCTTTTTGAAATGTAAAAGAGAACGTATTCAATTTTGTTCATTTCCAAAAGGAAGACTTTTGTTTAATGAATATTTCATTAGTTGAAATCATGAGTCAATTGAAGCTAGACCACCATGGAAAACCTGGAAGAACTGGACGGCCAACTCGTCTTAGTATGGGACTCAGCAGTGCGCATTCACGATCCCGCTTTCCCCCACGATATTCGAACCCAAGATCCATCAGTCTCGCGCGCGAGCGCTTAACCATTAGACCACTGAGCCGGCATCCAATGGTGTTAATTTCTAACTTCAAACAATCCACTCCAGCAAATGCCTGGAGTTCTAGTGAGAAGCCTTTACTAGTGGAGTTCAACCAGGTCTGTTGTGAGATATCAGCTCACTGAAGACAATGGTGTACGGTGGCGCAATTTTGTTGATTGGTTGAAGTTAGACATTAACACCGTTAGATGCCGGCTCAATAGTCTAGTGGTTAAGCGCTCGCACGCGAGACTGATAGGTCCTGGGTTCGAATCCCGTGGGGAGCAGGATCGTGGATGAGCACTGCTGAGTAGTCCCATAGTAGGACGAGTTGGCCGTCCAATGCTTCTAGGTTTCCCATGGTTGTCTAGCTTTAATTGACTCATGATTTCAACTATTGAAATTACTAAAATCCTCACAAGAGTTCGGTTTAATTTAAAAATTAAACCGAAGTATGCATACATATATAATTATATGAATATCCAAACACGTCTTCAAGTATTTGTAAATAGAGGACTTCTGTTCTTGAATGGTCTTCGACCGTTCAACTAACCTATACATTGACTTAAAATTTGTACATCGATTTTGCACAGATCTTACAAGATTTTAACGTTGCGATTTTTTTAAATCAACAGGGGTATTTGATATTCATAGCATTAAGCTTAAAATTTCTATACAAAATAAATATTTTTAGTCTTTTGACTTTACATCAGTCTTAGTACCCGAGTTTGTATTATCGTTCTTAAATTACGCATATATTCTGTGAATCTCTTACGATTTTAAGCAAGTATTCTTGTTGAATTTGATTTCGCTTATAAGTTAATAGCACATGTTAACCAGGAAGAGCGATTGAGCGCTGAATAGATGTTTTGTCCTAGTGTACGAATTTCGAGCGTCCACATTATAACGTCACTAAAACCTATCTCACAACTAGCGCAATGATTACGGGTCATTAGTCCACATTGACAATTTTAGTTAATTCATGTAGCACGATATTCTGCAGTTATACTGGTTTTGTTACAGCTATATCACTAACAAGGTGAACTCTGTCTATTCGTCTTGTCTTTATTGGAATTGTTAATAATGT